CTTTCTCACGAAACAAAAGTTGGAGAAGACCTTATTATTCATGACAATCAAAATCACTCTTAGGATTATTGTTAATATTATCATAACTGAGTTTTTTCAGGCTTTCGCTAACGCACAATCATGAGTCTGGACCGTAGACTGACCACAAACAATTCCCAGAGTGAGATTTCGTTAACCCGCAAGTGCTAACTGGCCCCGCTCTCCCTCCCTCCGTCACGCAAGGATACCGCGCAGGACTCTCCGAGGAATCAGCGCCAGGGACACCCGTGGCCACTCAGCAGATTAGTCTCCCGCACGCACTCAACCTGATTTTCCCTCTCCGTCACCTCCGTCAGCGAACGCGGCCCTGAACATGACACGGAATATGACACACACGCCCCCTCGAAATTCGGGCCCGGCGCGACACCACTCCGATCGTCCTGCGCGGCCCCGGGGGATACGCCTTTCCGGGGCCGGTGTCGTAAATCCGAGGGCCAGGCCGGGGACGCGTCACGGCTCGAATTAGGAGACCCTGTCCGGAGGGAGGATTTCGTCACCTTCGGCTGTGCTTTGTCGGCGCCGCGTGTGAGAGAGGCCGTCGGGCGCACATAAAGCGGCTCCTGGACAATCTCCTCGACGCGCCTCATTCTCTCGCGCCTTTTTTATGCCTCGTTTCTGGGACGTTCCCTCTCGGCCCGTTACTCGGCTCGCCTCTCTCCGCGAGGACTCTCCTCCTTCGAAGCTCTACTCTCGCTGATTCTTTTTATTTTCTCTCTATTTTGATATGCGTTACATCCCTCGTATTCTCTAAATGCACACAAACATATTATTTCATTTTCTACCACCTGTCCTCCCTCCCTCCCTCTCGCTCGCTCTCTCTCTCTCTGCCTTCCCCCTCCCTCTCTACTTTCCCTCTCCCTCTCTCTACATTTCCTCTCCCTTTCTGCTTTCCCTTTCCTCTCCCGCTCTAACTTTCCTATCCCTCTCTACCGTCCCTCTCCCTCTCTGTCTTCCCTCTTCCTCTCCCTCTCTGCCTTCCACCTCCCTCTCAACACTCCCCCTCTCTCTCTCTCCTTCCCTTCTCCCTCCCTTCCTCCTCTCCCTCTCTCCTCCTCGCGTGACGATCTGTCAACATGGTCCGCGTGGAGCGCCCTCCCGCGCCCCCGCATTTGCCGTGCGAATGAAGACGGCAAATGTTGACCGGCGCTTTCACGGCTATAGTATTTGCTCTGGCTATCACCGCGCCGAGGTTCTTCGCTCCTTGAGACTGAAGAAGGAAAAAATGTCTTTGTATTTCTTCTGCGCTATTTCTTCCCTTCTTCCCCTGGCTCTCTGGTTTTGCTGCTGATTATCGTCCTCTTCGCTTATATTTAACTAAACGTCTTGGTATATTAATGCTAATGTTCTGCACACTTTTTTTACGAAATTCTCTTGCGAGGAACAAAAAGAGAAACTCGACTATGTCATCATGTAAGATATTATCTCACTTATCTCGTGTCAAGACGAGAGTCAACACTTCTTTATCATCTGTGTGTGAGTGTGTATATGTGTGCGTGTATGGTGTGTTGTATGTTGTGTGTGTGTATATGTGTGTGTGTTGTGTGTGTGTGTGTGTGTGTGTGTGTGTGTGGTGTGTGTGTGTGTGTGTGTGTGTGTGTGTGTGTGTGTGTGTGTGTGTGTGTGTGTGTGTGTGTGGTGTGTTGTGTGTGTATGTGTGTGTGTGTGTAGTGTGTGTGTGTGTGTATGTGTGTGTGTGTATGTGTGTGTGTGTGTATGTATGTGTATTGGTGTGTGTATATATGTATGTGTGTGTGTATATATATGTGTGTGTGTGTGTGTGTGTGTTTGCGTGTGTGCGTGCGCGTGCGTGTGTGCGTGTAGACAATATTAGATTCCGCCCCTATGCTACGCAATTGGCCACACACCTCATACATACATGCAAGCGGCGCCTTCTCGCTTGCGTAATGCCACGCCACCGGCCGGGCTCATTGCATACGGGTCCCTCCGAACATGGCGTCGGGCGGGTTTGCAAGAGCGAAGTGAGGTTGCGGGGGATGTTGCTGCCATATTAAAGGGGGCGCTAGAACTGCGCTACGGCTGTGCTGGGGCGGAAGCAAGGACGGATCACGGCTGTACTGTGTTCGGCAGGGCTAGAAGGCGAGCAACGAGGGGGTGGGGGTGGGGGAGGTAGTACACTGCTGCTCTGAAGTGTGGCCATATACAGCTGTGTTGCGGTGGACGTGTGGCGTTGGATGGATGCTCGGTCCTTTTTGACATCCGATTCCCGGCGCGGATATGGAGTCGGGGAAGGCTGGGTTGGCGGAGGCTGGGAATATTGGTAATATGACCTTTTTACAAAACAGTGCTGATTATGAATACACGTTATAGGGATAAATTATTACTTCTCTCTCCTCTCTTCCTCCATCTTCCCTCTCTTTTTCTTTCTTTCGTGTCTCTCCCCCCCTCCTCTTCTTCCTTCTCCTTCTTTCCTCCTTCTCCCCCTTCCTTCCTCTTCCTCTCCTCCTCCTTCTTCTCCTTCCTTCCCATCCTCCCTTCTCCTTCTTTCCTCCCTCCCTCCCTTCCTTCCTTCCTCCTTCCCCTCCTCCCTCCTTTCCCTTTTTCTCCCTTCCCTTCTCTGCCTCCCTTCCTCTCCTCCCCCTCTCCTCCCTCCCTTTCCTCTTCCCTTCCTCCCCCACCCTCCCTCTCTCATGAACGTCCCACTTTTCTCTCCCCGAACTCCCGGCGACCTCGGCTTAATCCCGCCATCCACTCCTTACAGACGGAATAACAAAACACTCCTCAAGCACTCTTCTCGATTACGAAAACGTTCCCCGTCGCTGATTGCCCCGGGGTCACGTCTCCCCCTCCCCCCTCCCCCTGCCTTCCCCCCCCGGGTCAGTCTCCCCCTCCCCCCGCTCTCCCCCCCGGGTAACATCCCTTCCCCCCTCCCCCCTCCCCCGCCTTCACCCCCGGGTCATATCTCCCTCCCTCCCCCGCTCCCCGGTCAAGTCCCCTCCCCCTACCCCAACTCTTTCCCAAAGCTGGTCCAACGCCGAAACAGATGCTCGTCAATGGAAAAGGCAGCGGGAGAGAGGACTGCACCGGCGACTCTCCGTGTGGAATGATAAGTGACGGCGATAATGACAAGGCGATGGTGAACATTGGGGATGTTAGGTGATGGAATGGCGACTTGCGAGGATGATAATGACCGATGATGGTGATTAATCATGAGAAGACGGTGAGCATGGCGAGGAAGTGTATATGACGATGGATATGTGATACAATGATGAGACGGGTGAGCATGGCGAGGTTATGATAATGACGATGATGTGATTTAATGATGAAGACGGTGAACATTTGGCAGAGGAAAGAGTGATAATACGATGATGGTGCACTTAATGATGAAGACGGTGAGCATGGCGAGGTGTGATAATGACGATGATGGCTGATATTATGATGAAGACGGTGAGCATCAGAGGGTTATTAATGACGATGATGGTCAATTAAATGATGAAGACCGTGAGCATGGCTGAGCGAGATTAATGACGATGATGGTGACTAATTATGAAGGACGGTTGAGCATGGCCGAGTGATTAATGACGATTGATGCGTGATTAATTGATGAGGACGGTGAACATGGCGCAGGGTGATATAACGAATGATGAGTGACTTAATCTGATGAGACGGTTGAGCCATGGGCGAAGGGTGATAATGACGATGATGGTGGATTAATGATGAAGACGGGCTGACATGGGACGGAGGGTTGATAATGGAAACGATGCATGGTGACTAATGATGAAGCGCGTGTGAGCATGGCGGACGTGAACCCAAGTTCGAATAATAGATCTTGCACCCGATTCTATCAACTCAGCATGGTCCATACATGCATTAAGTTGCATGGTGAACTCGATAGCTCGTCAAATTTGCATGGCTTGGAATGCAAGGAGTTGCATAAATAATAGAACCCGATGGGCACTGGTGGACACAATGAGCTGAGGGAGCGACCAGTGATGAGATTCATGGCTGATGCAATATGTGTGATAATGACGATGATCGGTGACTGTAAATGATGGAAAGAACGAGGTTGTTTGAAGACAAATGAGGCGAAGAATAATGTGATAATAGACGATGATATGGGTGTAAACCCCAAAATCGAAAATAACGGATGATATGAAAGACGGTGAAGGGCTCAATTGGCGTGTTTTGAATATATAGACGATGATGGATTTGAACGTAACTTAATGATGAAGACGGTTGAACATGGCGAGGGTGATAAATGGAACGATGATTGCGTGATTATGCATGTAAGATGGTGAGGCATTCGGCGAGCGCGTGATAATGACGATGATGGTGATTAAGGATGAAGACGGTGAGCATGGCGAGGGTGATAATGACATGTGGTGATATGATGAAGACGAGTGACATGAGGAGGTGATAATGACGTGATGGGAATGATGAAGACGGTGAACAAGGCGAGGATCATCCACTGACGATGATGGTGACTGAGGATGATGATGATAATGATGAACTTGGCGAGAATGATACTGACGGTGATGCTTGAGGATGATGAGGAAGATGAAAATGGGGAGAATGATGATGTTCATGTTTTTTTTCGAAATGGAATAATTCTATATAGTGTTTATGCACGATCAGATACTGGATCTGCGAGTACGTGGTTTCCGTACACGGACTCACAAAATAATAATAAAGCAAACAAAAATACATAAACATTTTGATACACTGTAACAAACTATTGCATACGAATCTCCTTGATGACGATGATAAATGATAAAGAAGACAATAAACAAGATAAGAATAATACTGACAACGATTATTAACGACAAAGCACACCACACACACACACACACACACACATTACATTTCAACACACACACACAACACACAGCACACACACCACGATTAATGATAACGAAAGCGATTACGCCATGGACCATACCACATAAAGCGATGCCTCGGAATACCAACCAGACAACGGATACCAAGACCACACACGCACGTACCTTCTACAAGAGGAGTGTCCCTGCAGTCACCATTCCGCCCCCAACGCGTCTGTCACCTGTAAAATAATAACGCCACGATTACATAATGAAACGGGAAACCAGACCGCGCCCGTTGTAAACCATACGACTCCTGTAACATGTTGAAACTTGGGACTTTATTACCGGGCCGCCTCTGGATCTGAGAGGGGGGGGAGGGAGGAGGGAGAGGGACTAAAGTAAGGAAATAATGGGAGGGAGGTGAGAGGTGAAAGGGAGGGAAGGGATGAAGGAGTAGGGAGGAAGCGAAGTAAGGAAGGAGAGTTGAGGGAAGGAAGGTCTAAGGTATTTCTATACTATAGGTCCTTTCGATAATTTTTGTTGTAGGGAGGGAAGGACCCAGGAATGCCGAGAGGTCGACGTGGGAACAGGAAGGAAGAGACGCGGATGAGGCTCTTCTCCTGACACTGGGTCATGAGGAAGGAAGGTCTGCACCTTCCGATGCTACGGCCCGCAGGGAGGGCTCTCCCTCCGGGAAGGATCAGGGTACAGGCTCCTCTCCCTCTCCTTCGACTCTTCTGACGTGCCTGCAGTGCTGCGTTTAAGCTGCAAGGAAGCTGCAAGCGAGAGGATGAGTGAGGAAGGGAGTGCCGGAAGACGCATAGGAAGGAAGGTACAGGGTACAACGGGATACAGCGACCCGTAAAGGGAAATGAGGACATAATAAGGGAAGGGTAAAAAGGTATATCGTAATTATATATTATATAATAATGGGTGAGATGAGTAAAGCGCATAGGGTATTAGTGAGACGATGTAGAAATAACTTATAAAAGAAGATGGATTATGTTGTATTATCTATGAATTGTGGGTGATATGGACATAGCCACGTACAGTTTGTATGATAATGCATAGGTAAATATTTTCGATGATTAGGAACAAAAAGCCTATACGTCACTGCACAGATGTTTTGCACACACATCACACAAAACACACAACACACACACACCACACACACACACACACACACACACACACACACACACACACACACAGACAAACACACACACACACACACACACACACGCACACAAAATACACCACATCACAACACACACACCACACAGCACACATCACACACACACACACGAGCGACGACGCACACGCACGGCACACAAACACGACACAATTCACATCACTTGTTCGCAAGTTCGGGCTAATCCCCCCCCCCCCCCCGTCCCTCCCGTTCCTCTCCCTCTCAGCCAGAGAAAATGGGCGCTTGAAAATCTTCTCAATTTTGGTCTTTTAGGGGGGATTAGGGGGGCCCGGCGGTGAGCTAAGGGTTGTCGAGATGATGGAGGTGGCAATCCCTTGTAAAGTAATGAGCTTTTAGGCGTCCTTAGGTTAAATGTCGATGAAAGGAGCGGAGAAGGTTTTGGTGTTGTGCGTCATCGACTATTTGGATGCGAGATGATGTTTGGCATGGCTGTTTTTATCTTTATTTTTTTTTATTTTATTGCGTGAATATATTGCGATATATATGTTGTGCTTATTATTATCATCATCATCATTATCCATCATGTAACGTGATTCTAAAATCATTTATGATTATTTTTATGTGAACTTCATTATTATTATTATGTGAATTCATTATTATTATATTGAGAATTGATTATTATTGAACTATTCATTATTGATATATGATATTATTATTATTATTAGTTGTTATTATTAACATGGAATGTTATTTATCACCTTATTATCATTATTATTCCATATTATTAATGTAATTATGTATAAATTATTATTACTATTGTCTATTAAGTGAAATTATTATTGAAAATTAACATACTATTGATCGATATATTGAATTTATTATTAATTATCATGAGATCTTATTATCGTCAAATTATTACCTCAAATGATTATTATTATCAATCATGAATAATGCTTCAAATTATTATATATTATTGATCATTCATGGAATTATTATCATTATTTTATAATGAGAATTGTTACTTACTATTATCATCACATATTAGCTCATTACCAATCGTCACCTCCCTATTATGAATATTAAGAAGCTTAAATATATGCAATTATTAGAAATTATTATATTTAAAATTTTACCAATGTTGTGGTGGTGCAGTTAAAGTATGTTTCATGTGGTGGTTGGACAGTGAGACGATGCGAGCTAGATGTTAAGAACGTTGATACATTGTCAGAAATGCTACTTGTATGAGCTGATGCATGATGTTAAATTTGTACTTGACCTGTGAAAAGGAAAGGGTATAAGATTCAATCATGTTAAGAATATGAATGTCATCGGTGGCAGGCTGACAGCGTGTTAGATAGCATTTTTTGTGGATTGTACAATAAGGTGTTTGAGGATGTGTGTTTTTTGCCCAATACTTGCGTGTGTGAGTAAGAGGTTTAGAGAGGGAGGGATGAGAGTGAGGAGAGGGAGAGGAGAGGTGACGGAGGGAGAGGAGGAGAGGGAGAGGGGGAGGCCACGAGTGGAATCGAGGGATTAGTCGGGAGGCCGAACGGGAGGGAGTCAGGTTGTTTTGGAACGCGCGGAGACGTTCGCGGAGAGAGGAGGGAGGAAGGAAGGGGAGGAAGAGAGTGAGGGAGTAGGAGAGAGAGAGAGAGAGAGAGTGAGAGAGAGAGAGAGAGCTGGAAGAAGAGAGGAGAGCAGAGTTGACGTGTACTCGGTGGTGTGTCTGCTTACGGGACACCGCATAAACGCAGCGCATCCCTACGTGTTTAAGCGCTTCAGCTTCTCGAATTTCTTTTCTTATTTGTGATCTCCTGATACTTCTCTTATTCTCTTTGACTATGTCACTCTCTTCCTCTCCATTGTCTCTCTCTATACGTGGTTCTCTGTGATGTTCTAATTAGAAGAGAGGAGAGAGAGAAGATGGAGAGATGAGAACGCGTGAGAGGTGGGAGAGGAGAGAGAGAGAGAGAGAGAGAGAATTTTTCGCGCTAGAGGAGAGAGAGAGAGAGGGCAGGGAGGAGGGAGGGGAGGGAGGGAGGGAGGGAGGAGAGAGAGAGAGAGGGAGAGAGGAGACGCGGATAGGGGATGAAGAGGAAGGGAGGAAGGCGGGTGAAGGAGTAGGGAGAAGAACAAAGAAAGTGATAAAGAAACGAAAGAGATGTGGAGAATGAAAAGAGAAATAGTATAAAGAAAAAGAGAAAAGAGCGAGAGAGATGATCCGAACCAGATCGGAAGAGCGCTCGTCAACGTGTAGCCTCGCCGCCTCGCGCTCTCGTGTCCAAGTGTGGCTCGCCATTATGAAGAACTTGGAAGAAGCATACCAAGAGATATATGACGGTCCGAGGCTGGCACCCAAACGCGGGCGAAAGCGGGTTCGGGAATACAGATAGCATAGTGCGGCTGCAGAGGGGATGAAGAGGGTGATGGAGGCGGTGGGAGTTAAGGAGGGGAAGGGAGGAAGTGATAAAGAGAGCGTTACGAGAGCGCGTGGGGGGAGGAAGGGGGGGATGGTCGTGGAGGGAGAGAACAGCGAGCGAGCAGAGGTTTTACGGGTAAGGGATTGACCGCGCGCGCGCGAAAGATGTAGTGTAGAGGAGAGGGTCAAGAGGAAAGGAGTTACGGGGCAAAGACGGCGTAGATTAGGAGCTTAGGCAGGGGCGAGAGGGGTTGTGATAGAGAGGGAATGAGGATGGGGACGAAGGGGGAAAAGCGCAGTACAGGTGGGAGGAAAAGGGAAGCGCTAGGGTGCGGGTGGGGGGAGGCGGAGGGAAAGATGAGGTCACCAAGGGAGAAGGGAGGAGGAGGGTGATGAAATAGGAAGGGGTTAAAGGAGAGGGAGTCGGGGATGGTGGGTAAGGGGGAGGGGGGCGATTGAAAGAGAAAGAGAAGAGAGAGTCGAGCAGGTGAGAGAAGGGAGAGGGGGGCAGGGAGAGGGAGGCGCAGGTTGTGGGGAGATGGAGGAGGAGAGTGCTCGCGGCACGGGTTACAGATGGGGAGGGGCGGGGAGGGGCGAGTTGAGCAGAGAGAAGAGGGGGATGAGGAAGAGTGTGATGAGTCGATTAGAAAGATAGGGTGAAGCAGATGGAGACGGGCGCAAATGAGGAGAGGGGTGGTCGCTTGGCAGGGTGGGTAGACTGCGCGCTCGCGCTCTCGGATGAGGCAGCGCAAGAAAGCGATAATAATCTACAAGGGTTTCACGTTACTTTCTTTCTCTTGTGTTTACATTCAACATACATATACACCGATCTGTTACGGGGGAGTATTTCCATCCATTCATGTGGATCCGTGTTCCGTTTCCTGGCTTCTCCTCTTCCTATTTAGCGGCCCCGTTCCTCCTCTTTCCCTTCCTAACCCGCTCCTCCCTCTCTGCCTTCTTCCCTCCCCGCCCTCAAGTAACTACGTAAAAATAAACGCACATTATATGCAAATGCCGCCGTTATAATTCCCTGCCACGCTGCTCTTCCAGCCAGCACCGGCAGGCACAGTTATACCTACACGCGCACCAGCACAAAACACGCGAAAAGTAACTCGCTTTCATTCACTTGCGTTTGCTCTTTTGTCTCTTGTCTGTCTGTCTGTCTCTTTCTTACGCTCCCTCCACTTCTCTCATTCTCTCTCTCCCTCTTTATTTCTCCCTTCCCTCCCCCTTCTGCCCTTTCTCTCTTTCCCTTCTTCCCTTCCCTTCTCCCTTTCTCCCTCTCCTCCCTCTCTTTCTCCCTTCCTCCCTCTTCCTTTTCTCCCTTCCTCCTTCTTCCTTCTTACTCCTTCCTCCCTCTCCCTTTCTCCCTTCCCTCCCTCTTCCCTTCTCCCTTCCCTCCCTCTTCCTTTCTCCCCCCCCCCCTCCAAACGCGACGCCGCTTACAAAGGTTCCTCCAAAACACCATACAGGGACATAAAGCCAAATGACTTGATGATCTATTATCATGCTCAATTACGGCCGCTGAGGAGAATGATTTGGATACTATTTCCAAATACGAGCCCGAGTAATGATCTTCATAAACATGTAATTACACTTTATCATCCGATATGACCTACGGAATTACATGCATGCACGCACACGCTCACTCGCAAACACGCCCATAAAACGGAATGTACACAAGGTTAACATATAAACACATACATACATCATACAACATA